GACTAAACAACCCCAGCTCCCTCAGCCTCTCCTCATAGGACTTGTGCTCAAGTCCCTTCACCAGCCTCGTTGCTCTTCTCTGGACCCGCTCCAGCACCTCAATATCCTTCCTGAACTGAGGGGCCCAGAGCTGAACACAATACTCAAGGTGTGGCCTCACCAGTGCAGAGTACAGGGGAAGGATCACTTACCTGCTCCTGCTGGCCACACTGTTCTTGATGCAGGCCAGGATGCCATTGGCCTTCTTGGCCAGCTGGCCAGCTGGACACTGAACATGCTGGCTCATGTTCAGCTTCCTGTCAGTCAGCACCCCGAGATCCCTTTCCACCTGGCTGCTCTCCAGCCACTCTGTCCCCAGCCCGTAGTGCTGCAAGGGCTTGTTGTGGCTCTTGTCCATCAGCAATCATCAATAAATGTACTTTTATAAAAACACATGGTTATTATATAGAATTGGGCTTAAGAGTGGTGCTGGGGAGTTCCACTAGTAGTCTCCATCCAATTTTAATTACCTTTTTAGTCTGTTAGTGCCAGACCATAAGTCTTGTATCTGTAATTTACATTATTTAGTGTTATTGTTTCAGGCAAATATAAATGGTCGTGTCTTGGCTCAGTGCAATATTGATGAACTGAAAAAAGAAATGAATATGAATTTTGGGGACTGGCACCTGTTCAGGACCATGGTAAGACTTTCTGTTCAGTATTCAGGTCATCATAAATTAGTCTTTTTCAATATGAATATTTTTTTTCTTCCTGGTTGCTTTCTTGTTGTTATCATCTTTAAGTTTGTGAGTCTTAAAACATACACACATCTATTTTTTTGTTACTTTGTCTTTTTGTCTTGAGCACTAGTGAATAACTGCTTCCTGATGGATTTTCATCTTAATTGATTGTGAACTCTGAAGTTTTGCCTCCTCTTTTTGTAGGATCTGTTTTTTCCTTTATGGGTTCCCCTTTCAAATTTGTCTATTTTAAATAAATGGTCAGAACTTAACTCTCTTTGAAGCCTCTGTCCTTCTGTTAAAAATTACTCAGAGAATTCAAAGTATGTGTAGTAATATGGGCGAGGAATTGGACAGCCAGGCTGTTAGAGATGTGTGGCCCACAGTTGCATAAGCCTGATTTTTAAAGGAACTAAGCTAAAAATCAAGCCAATAAGATAAATATACAGTATTCAATTGACACATACATGTGTAATACAAGAATGCTCCATGCTATTATTGAAGCTTACATATAGATTTTTAATATCCCCTTTTTCCTTCCTCCCAGTTTGAAAGTAAATGGTAGTGTTACAGGAAGAGTTACACATCACAGAGAACTGTGTTTTTTCTCTTAAGTATTTTTAGACTATTGCCAGTTTTCTTTCTGAAGATAACAGTATGTCTCTCAACTGCTAAGTCAGTCTTGAAAACACTGAGAATAACACAATGAGATTTATTGTTAGATAAGAAGTGTTTGGTTTTGATTTTAAATTTATTGTGTATCACTAGTTTAACAAGACTTTAAGTGTTTTTGTGACATGAATTCTTTCAAGGGTCTGAGCAGTAATAACAATTTTTAAATACAAAAAAATTATTAAATATTAAAATGTGATTTGCAGTAAAGACAATGAAAGCACTAGGTCTGTGAACAGATTTTTTTTTTGCACTTTTCCATGGTCACAACCACATAGGCAGGTATATTTTTACAGTTGCGAATTCCTCATTCCTCTTTTTAGTAGAATTCTTGTTTATCAATTTTGGAAACTTTTTGTAACTGTTTCTTTTTGTGCATTAAGATACTTGAAATGAGAAACTCAGAAAATCAGGCTGTTCAGGAAGATTCTCGTGGAGCAACTGAGCACGTTACAACTGCGATTCCTCACAGTGAACTTACCCGCCGTCCTGGGCATAACACTGAGTTGCCTCACACTGAGCTGACAAGTCTTGCTGGTCAAGCTCCCTACACACTTAACTTCAGCTTTGAAGAACTCAACACAATCGGTCTTGATGAAGCTCCTCCACGCCACAGTAACTTAAGTTGGCAGGTATTTAATATAGAAATATATTCTGCTTGTTTATCCATATGGAAAAGAGGTTTTTTCCATTCTTTCATAAAGAAAGGTCAAGAAATATGTCTGCAGGGATGGTTCAGATACTTTCAGTTCTCCATTTTGGTAAAAACTAGTTCTGCAGAGATGTAAACTCTAACCATACTCTGTCAGTCAAAGTCTTTAGTCTTTACCACCTGAAAACTTTTCATCTGTTCCAATAATCACTCTTCAGGACGAAAAACTGAAAGCTGTCATGCTTTTTTTCATCTAGCTTAGAGTGGTGTCGTGCAAGACTTCCGTTTATCATAGTATTCAGGTTTTGTGTATGAAATATTTTAGCTACGTGCTAGCTAGATGTTATGCCATTCAAGGGATTACAGATATATTTGTTAGGTTTTTTAAAACAGACAACTACAGTGCTCCATGACATCAGAGCCTTGTCCTGAGAATGCATAACCTATTCAGAGGCTCCAGAGCTGACATCCGTCACTAACTTCCTGCCATAGGTTGTGGTAATTTTTTTTCTGTAACTTATGAAATCACCTGAAGTGTTGAATTTTCATTTGTCTTTATGAAATAAGACAAATCAGTTGGTAGCCAAATAGTGGTTAGAATTTAAAAAAACAAGCAAACAAAAAACCCCACCAAACCCAAACATTTTAGCATTTTTTTCATCTCTGGAGGTAAGTTAAAAAATCTTGAAGGTTCATCAAAATAGGAAGACACTGCAAGTTACTAACTATAGATGATATTTTTAATAATGAAAATTGTCCCTGAAAATAGGTTTGGGTTATATATCCCAGAGATAGATGTCTATCCCAGATAGCTCTGAATGTGTGCATGTATGTTTGTGTGTGTTTGTAGGGTCCTGATGACCCTTACTGCCTATTTCCAGCAACGGACTATCAGTGTATGTTTCTCCAAACCAAAACTGGCATTACTCACAGTTGTTGTATTTAAGTAAATAGTGCTTCTGATGCCCAGTTATCTGAAGTTGAATCAGAAGAATGAGAAAGGTAGTTTGTCCGTAAGGAAACATTAGAATTGACCTGCTGGAATTTTTTAAATCAATACTGATTAAAAAATAATATTGCTGCTTCTCTGCTGTGGTGGGTTGACCCTGCCTGGACACCAGGTACCCACTAAAGCTGCTCTGTCACTGCCCTCCACTGACTCAGGGAGAGAAAATACAATGAGGGGCTCCTGGGTCGAGATAAGGGCAGGGAGAGATCACTCACCAGTGACTGTCATGAGCAAAAGAAACTCCACTTGGGAAAATTAGTTTAATTTATGACCAATCAAATCAGAGTAGGGTATTGAGAAATAAAACCAATTCTAAAAGCAGAGGAGGGGGCAAAGAGGAATATGTTTGCCAGAAAACCAACTTTTCTGAAATCAGCTATATGCAATGGCATTTTGCCAGGATATATTGAAGTATGTAGGATGGAGGTCTTTTAAAAATGTTTTTGAGAAATGTTCAACGTTTAGATGAATTCTTCCTGTCTAATATAAAATGCTTATTTTGTAGATGTACAAAAATGTATTAGAAAAGCCCATCTTGACATACAAATTCAATTCTTATAATTATATACTCAAAAGTTAGCCTCAAATGCACTGGATAAAACACTTGTTTTGTGGAAATTTTCCGTTATGGGGACCAACAATAAGAATACTTTGTAAGTTTAGTGAATGTGTGTGTGATTGCATCTATATGATTATAGTAAGCATATTTTAATTATAGCATTGACAATTTCTCTTGCATAATCTATTCACAGCAACAAAAAGAATAATTTAAGCACATACTTAATGCTCTGAGTTAGTTCATTTAAGATCAGTAAAAGTAAAAATAAATAGTTCATTTAACTGTTATCTCTCTCTCTTCTTTCTTTTTTTTCCAGTCACAAACTCGTAGAACTCCAAGTCTTTCAAGTCTTAACTCTCAAGATTCTAGTATTGAAATATCCAAGCTTACTGACAAGGTGCAGGCAGAGTACAGAGATGCATATAGAGAGTATATTGCTCAGATGTCACAGTTAGAAGGAGGTGCCAATTCTACTACAGTAAGCGGGAGATCCTCCCCTCATAGCTCAAGTGCTTTCTATATGGGGCAGAGTACATCAGGGGGTTCCTTGCACTCCAGTTCAGAGCAGGAAAAAGGAAAAGATGGTGAACAGAAACAAGACGATGGAAGAAAGTCCTTCTTGCTGAAGAGAAATGATGTTGTTGACTACAGCACTTCAGGTGTTTCTACTAGTGATGCATCTC